GTGTGTGTGTGTGTGTTGTATTTTCATCAAAACCCTAAAGAAATCAAATTGCTTTAATGAAAATCCCATGTCTTTCCCCGTGACCGACCCTCCGCCAAGGGCCCTTCCCTAGTTGGGAAATGGCGTCGAGCATTAAAGAGAAGCGCGTGGATGCGCACTGTTATCACGCGAGGCTCATTGTATCCTGCCAAGAGATAGCGGCCTCGTAAACCTTCGAGAACAGAGGTTATCAGCGCGCGGGCGTTGTCTTTTTATGTGTCTCCGAGGGGCGCTTTTGGGCGGGGTCGCCGCTCCCCGCCCGCCCTCCGCGCCCCAGGGGGAAGAAGCTTCACACATCATATATATATATATATATATATATATATATATATATATATATAGATACACACACACACACACACACACACACACACACACACACACACACACACACACACACACACACACACACACACACACACACACACACACACACACACACACACAGACGGATCATTGATATATATCTATATCTATCTATCTATCTATCTATCTATCTATCTATATATGTGTGTGTGTGTGTGTGTGTGTGTGTGTGTGTGTGTATGTATGTGTGTGTGTGTGTATTTATATACATATGCATATATATGTATATCATAAATATATATATATATATATGTATATCATATATATATACATGTGTATATACATATAAATACACATACGAATATACATACACACAAGAATACACACAACACACACACACACACACACAACACACACACCACACACACACACACACACACACACACACACACACACACACACACACACCACACACACGCCAACGCACGCACGCACACATAGTATTATATATAATATATATTATATATATATATATATATATGTATATATATGTATATATATATATATAATATATATATATATATATATATATAATATATATATAGACACCACACACACACACACACACACACACACACACACACACACACACACACACACACACACAACACACACACACACACACACACACACACACATATATACACATATATATTATATATACATTATATTATACATATATACATATATATATACATATATATATACATATATATATGTCATATATATATGTACATATATATATATATATGTACATATAATATATACATATATATATATATAGTATATATATTATATATATATATGTATATATATACATATATACATATATACATATATATATAATATTTACATACATATATATATATATATATATATATATATATATATATATATATATATATATATATATGTACACAACCATATACCCATTTACACATGAATATCTATAGTATATTACTCCCCTATTTTTGCACTTGCACACAGTCCACACGCCCACGTACGGGAACGTGCCATCGTTCGGGGTTGCCTCTCATGTCTGATTCGACTCGGCAATCGCGGTCGTTGCTCATTTTGCTGCATCTTTGTCCCATCTTATAATGCGGTTCAGGCAGATATTCTTACGGCCCTGGCCGTGGCTGCCTCACCGAAGCAAGGACATGTGAGCTGTCAGACCCAGCGTCCTTGCAGCGCCTGGGAGGAAAATACAAAATTAGTGTTCTGTGTTCATTTTTTCCGTACATATATAATGAACACGGTATTCATTCGAACTGGGTTTTGCTGGGGTTCTTATTGTTCACATCACATCGACACGAAACAAGTAACACTGATCTTTGACAAGGTAAAAAAAAAAAAAAAAATGATTTCGTTATTATACCCAAGAATATGGTCTCTATAAGTGCAGACCTTGCCCAAGAATAGACCTTGATCGCCCCATGGTGCGGGATATGACCCAGATACCTACCGCCGAGTGTAGAAAAAGGGTTGCACGTTTGAAGATCGAGCTATATCCAGAAACGGAAACGGAAATGAACTGGATATGATATCTCTTGGTATCTTTGGTAATTTTTCTCGTTGAGTATAATGGCTTCATTGACGGCCTGAGGAATGTGGTGATAACTATACGGTCCGCAGTGCATTTTTATCATGTCATTTATGATTTCATTTGTATATTTCACAATCCTTAATGCAGCAGTGCTTGCTTAGCTTTAACGCTGGCTCGGCAGACGTCTTCATTCGTATTAAGACCATCCACCATTTTTTATCGCCGTCGACGGAATATTTTTTCTCGCGCGAGCAACGAAGCCAACCTCAGCGAATGAAAGTCCGGCTGCAAAGGTCCAAAGCGAAGGGCAGGTAGGCGCTGGGCGGCGTGCAGCTGACCCCCCCCCCCCCCCCCCCCCGCGCTGCCCTGGGCGCGGAGGGCACAAGGAGGAAGGGGCAATCAGGAGCAGGAAGGAGGGTCCAGTCGTCAATCACGTTTTAGTTCCAGATGAGGTCATGGATGTCACAAGGACATCATTTCCATCTGGCCGTGGGAGATGGGGTCTCGGGCTGCTCCTTGGCGAAGGGGCCAAGCGGATCTCACTCACACACGCACGCGCACACACCCACACGCACACATGCACTCACGCGCGCGCGTGTGCGTGTGGGTAAGAGAAAGAGACGCTTGCTTGTTCCCAAGATTGGTTGTCTTTGCAATATTGCAGCCGCGGTTTATCTGTAGCGTGTCGGAAACATGTACCTGTTTTATTAAAGGCAAAAATAAAAACTATGCTGTACTCTCTATTCAGACAAAAAAAAAAAAAAAAAAAAAAAAAAAAAAGAGAAAAAAAAAGCGAGCGAAGAAGTCCATACTCCCATTAGTCATTTATTTGCATACGAAAGTAAACTACTCAAGGAAATTGCGGACCAAGGGGGTCGAATAGCAATGGGGTCAGAGCCTTATTTGCAAGGGACGCAAGGGAGAAGATAATCTTTGTGTGTGTAGGTGTATATCTATGTATATATATTTATTATATATATATATATATATATATATATATATATATTATATATAGAGAGAGAGAGAGAGAGAGAGAGAGAGAGAGAGAGAGAGAGTGAAAGAGAAAGAAGAAGGAGAGAGAAAGAGAGAGAAGAGAGAGAAGAAGAGGGAGGGAGAGAGAGTGAGAGAGGGAGGAGAGAGAGTGAGAGAGAGGGAGAGAGAGTGAGAGAGGGAGGGAGAGAGAGTGAGAGAGAGAGAGAGAGAGAGAGAGTGAGAGAGAGTGAGAGAGGAGAGGAGAGAGAGAGTGAAGAAGGGAGGGAGAGAGAGTGAGAGAGGAGGGAGAGAGAGTGAGAGAGGGAGGGAGAGAGAGTGAGAGAGGGAGGAGACGAGTGGAGAGGAGGAGAGCGAGTGAGAGAGGAGGGAGAGCGAGTGAGAGAGGGAGCGAGAGAGAGGAGAGAGGGAGGGAGAGAGAGAGAGGGATGGAGAGAGAGAGAGATGGAGAGAGAGAGAGATGGAGAGAGAGATGGAGAGAGAGAGAGAGAGAGGGAGGGAGGGAGGGAGGGAGGGAGGAGGGAGGGAGGGAGGGAGGGAGGAGAGAGAGAGAGAGAGGGAGGGAGGGAGGGAGAGAGGAGAGAGAGAGAGAGAGAGAGAGAGAGAGAGAGAGAGAGAGAAGAGAGAGAGAGAGAGAGAGAGAGAGAGAGAGAGAGAGAGAGAGAGAGGTAGAGAGAGAGAAGAGAGAGAGGAGCGAGAGAGAGAGAGAGAGAGAGAGAGAGAGAGAGAGAGAGAGAGAGAGAGAGAGAGAGAGAGAAGAGAGAGGGAGAGGGAGAAGGAGAGGAGGAGGGAGAAAGAGAGAAGGAGGGAGGAGGGAGAAAGAGAGAGAGGGAGGGAGAGGAAGGAGGGAGAGAAAGAGAGGAAGGAGGGAGAGGAGGGAGGGAAAGAGAGAGAAGGAGAGGAGAGAGAGAGATCGAGGAGGGAGGGAGAAAGGGAGAGAGAAAGAGAGGGAGGGAGGGGAGAGAGAGAAGGAGGGAGGGAGGGAGAAGAGAGAAGGAGGGAGAAAGAGAGAAGAGAGAGGGAGGGAGAAAGAGAGAAGGAGAGGAGGAAGAGAGAAGGAGGAGGAGGAAGAGAGAAGGAGGGAGAGAAAAAGAGAAGGAGGGAGGAGAGAAAAAGAAGAAGGAGGGAGGGAGAAGGAGAGAGGAGGGAGAGGGAGAAAGAGAGGAGGGAGAGGGAAAAAGAGAGAAGAGGAAGGAGGGAGAAAGAGAGAAGGAGGGAAGAAAGAGAGAAGGAGGGAGGGAGAAAGAGAGGAGGAGGGAGAGAGAGAGAGAAGGAGGGAGGGAGAGAGAGAGAGAAGGAGGGAGGGAGAGAGAGAGGAGGGAGAAGAGAGAGAGAGGGAGAGAGAGAGGAGGAGGAGAGAGAGGAGGAGAGAGAGAGAGAGGAGGAGGAGGAGAGAGAGAGAGGAGAGAGAGGAGAGAGAGAGAGAGAGAGGAGAGAGAGAGAGAGAGGGAGGGAGGGAGGGTGGAGGAGGAGGAGGAGGGAGGGAGGGGAGAGAGAGAGAGAGAGAGAGAGAGAGAGAGAGAGAGGAGAGAGAGAGAGAGAGAGAGAGAGAAGAGAGAGAGAGAGAGAGAGAAGGGGCAAGAGCCAGGGCAAGAGCCAGGGCAAGAGCGAGGGCAAGAGCCACAGCAAGATCGAGAGCAATACCGAGCGAGCGAGCGAGCGAACGAGGGATAGCGACCTCTTTTAGATTAGTGTTCATATATGGAACTCCGCTCATCGTAATGGTAATGGCAATGCATACGTCAGGGGATGCGTCAGGGGAGTAATTACACAGTTCAGACTGAGGGTATGAGCTGTAGGCTAAAGAGGGAGACGCAATTATCTCACGTCATGATCGTTGCGATGACTCGAAGTATTTCCGCGTTTCACGTAGAATCGCGGCGTGGAGTTGCCGCCCTGTCTTTTCCGGGAAAGCCCAGGATTACGCATTGGGGGACGGCATGGCGAAGAAGTGAACGCGTGTTCCAGGCGCTGTAATGTGTGTAGTGGGACTGCTTGAGCTGTAATGAAACCTTCCATATGTTGGCAGTTACATGATTAGTATTGCGTATGTTTTTTTGTTCTATTTTCTTTTTACGTTGCTTATTTTTGGGGTTGGTTTCTGCTTTGGTTTGATTATTGTGTAACTGTTATAATTCGAATTGAAATGTAGATAAGGTTTATCAACAACAAATGAAAGGCGGAGATGATAGATAACAGGAAAAATAACGACCAGAAAAATATCAAATGCGTAACCGCCCTCATCTCCGAAAGCCAGATAATTCAGAAAAGAGAATAGATTAATCCCGTTAAAACTGAACAAAAACTAAACAAAAACTCAGCGGTTACCTGAAAAAAAATCCAACAGAGCCAGGAAGACAAGACAGGAGAAAATAACACCGTATTTCTCCCCAGCAAACGCCGCGCCTCGGAAACGTTGGCACGCCTGATATCGAACAACAACACTCAGTAAGAGGAAAACAAAACCTAGTCCTAGACTGAAAATGACTCGCAGGGCATTGTAAAGCTCTCCTCCCGCCTCTCGCTGAAAGGACAGGGGAAAGATGACAGGGAATATTCTAGTGGAGCCCGTGAATATTTTATAACCCGGTGTTTTCTGGCTTGGCATGGAAATGTTGAGGCGGACGAATCGATCAGACGTCGTCAATTTGTTCAGAGGTGAGTTGTAATGGCTTTACACGGTCATGAAAACGCCCTTTCTGTGAGTACTCGATGAACACCCACCCGTAGGTAGCGAGTTCCACCTGGTTGCACAGGTGCTGTCTCCCCTCGTTGCTGTGTGAGAATGCCCCCGACATGCATCATGTAATTCCAAATAGTAAAGCATATTGATTAGAGATGTAGGAAGTTGTTTGCAGGATGTGCCTTTTTGATCGGCAGTCATTTGAAAAATGTATGAGAACAGGTTGTTGGATATGAATGTAAACTAACATATAATTCCCAGACTAATAGTATGTTTGTACCATTGTTTCCTTGTCAAGGCCCGAGTATTCAAAGCAGTTCATCGCATGATATTCATCAGTGCACGTACTTAAAAAGATGTGTGACATGTTAATTCAAGCGAGCTTCTTTTCATGAAAAAGCTAAATGATTGCCCATAAGGTTCTAGTTGTGAGATGTAAAGAACATATTTTCTATTGAAGTTTGTAGGCTATTCCTTCACCGTAAGAGAATATTACAGTGAAGTGGGAGTTTTGAGTGAGGGGCGGATTACGGAAGGGATTTGTAAATATCAAGAAAACATCTGTGGTGCTTTTATAAGTTTGAATTTTTTCTGTAGTTATATTGGCTGTCTTCTATCTAAAACCACTTCAATCTAGATGTTATCTGTGTTCCAGTATGGAAAGTACGGCAGATGTACACTTGAAATTTTTGTTTGAGTTCCTGGTTGCACACCTGGGTGATTTACGGTGGTCAACGATTAAAATAATTATGTAACATCTATATGGAACGAGGAATTTACTAATATTTTAAAGGACTTTCAAGCATTTTGTTATCAGAAAAGTTTCAGGATGTGCACTCGAAGTGCACACTTGGTAACCATTGCATACTACACACTTCAATTTTTTTTCGTACACAACTGAGATCTCGATGAAAAGTACCGTACTTTCTATACTGGTTTGTGTTGGAAAACTTACTGTCTTGTCCAACTTGATGGTTGCGTAACCTGTTGGATCCAGTTGAGTCATGGAAATCACGGTGCCAAAAACATGGGCAATGGGTTACGTAAGTGGCCGACATCCTGGGCGTGCAGCGTGTAGGCCGGGTGTGCACGATTACCCATGAGAGGTGACAAGACTGTGGCTCCCCTTTGCAGAATTGTTTTGTGTAAATTTTATTTAGCTTTAAAGCGTTTTCCAATGTCTGTAATTGTATTTTGATTTGGTTTGTCCAGATGGTTACAGCTTATTTTCCTTGCACAGACTTCATATGATATCTCTATATAGTAAATAACTCAATGTGAGAAAAAAAAAAATATTTGGTTACTTGTGTCATATATCTCTTTTTTTTATAATTTTCAATTTTCCATAATACAATCTGCCGCTGGTCACAGCAGCCAGGAATACAATGCGCATCATGGAGATGATGTTCTCTCTGGAGCCGGCACTCTTCCAGTCACTGCTTACGCGCATTACATTCCACATTTGTTTATCAAGGGGAGTAATGCTAAAGCCCCCTTCTAAGAGCCAAATGAGTCAAGTCACACTCCAAGAGGTTTGTGCACTCATGGTGAGTCTTTTCCGTCACCCTGACCTTCACTCATGACCGCAAGTTCGCATCACCTGGGCCACAGCCAATTTGCCTGATGACAGCATGTTTACGTCACCTGCCACTTGACTCGTATATTTTTAAAGTCAAGTAAATCGTTATGAAACAAGAGTATCAACCTACACCCAACATTTACTTCAAGTCTGCCACACTAAACAGACTTACAAAAGTAATTAGGTGGCAGAAATATATATATTTATATATTTTTTTTACATGAAGTAAATTCTTTTTATTATTTAGATGATTAGCTGCAAGGCTATTTACTACACATAACACATCCTTACAGTTGG